TTCAAAGCCGAAGAGCCAGCGCTGTCCGGAGACGTCTCCGTGGTCATGTGGCTGGAATGACTCAACGCCAAAGGGGCAAGGAACGCTGCTCCCTTCCCACCAAAGGTGGTTCCTATTTTTCTACTTGCATTTTTTTGGTGTGTTTTCGAACTGCTAGGCTGGCAGAAGCTGGGACAAGTCACGGTAGCTCGCTCCATTATGGGGCACTAGGGAGTCGCACCGCCAAACTGCTGACCTTTCTGATCGACAAGCTCAGCCACTGAGCCTCCACGGCCCTTTTCTACTTTTAATACAAATGCTTATATTAAATTTTGCAAGGGGTTTTGCTGATGTGGGGAAACCACCTGACTTAGGCCACACTGGCATCCAGAGTTGGTTTCGCAACGGCATGGCATGGGAGGATGGTGTAGCTGAGGGACTTTGAGTAACTTACTCGCACACAAATATGTCCCTTAACCTCCCACTCCCCTGGAGAAAGTTTTAGGAATTGTAGTAAAGTGAGGGGGTGAAAAATCCCTGCAGCAATGTGCTTGGTTCGATGAAACAGATGTTGCTAAAGTCACCTGAATTACGTAAATCCCGGTGAATTTCACGGGAATTCCTTCTCAGCGTACGGCACTGAGATTGGCCTGATTCTTGCCACCACTGGGATCAGTAGGGATCTAAACATATAGCAGAATAACAGAACAGAATAACAGAGTTGGAAGGGGCTTTCTGATCTTCTAATCCAGGGGTCACCAACCTTTCGGACCTCAGGAACCACTAAATCCATAATTTTAAATCCCGCGGAGCGTTAATACGATCTGCCTAATGACCAGCTGGGCGAGCATGTCAAGGTGGTCATGTGACTGGGTGGGCGTGGCCAACTCAATGTCACTCACGCCAAGGGTGCCTCACCAGCCTCCCCTCGCCCCTCCCCTCCCAGCCCCTCCTCGCCTGCCCTCCCGGGCTCCTTAGGGCCCCAGGAAGCAGGGATGAAAGAGCCCACATGTGGCTCCAGAGCCACAGATTGCTGACCCCAGTGCTAGCCAATTAGCTTCAATTGGCTGGATTCCCACAAGAGGGCATTTCCTAAACCACAGGTTGCAAGTCACATTGCTACGATACACTAAGCCACGGACCCGCATACTGTGGTTTAATGTGATGTGTGAGAACCCAGTTATATTCTTTTCTCTTTCACGATCCCAGAGTAAAACAACATACCAAGTGTTGGCAGCTGGACTCTGTTCTCATCAACTGAGTCACACATTGTCCTGAACCATTAATTTTTTTTTTGCATATTTGGGATACTTTGTTTTTTGCAATGATAATGTTAATCCTTAGAGCAGGGGTGTCAAACTCAAAGCCCACGGGCTGGATCTGGCCCAGAGGGAGCTTAAATTCGGCCCATGGGGCTGGCCTGGAAATATCAAAGGACCGGCCTGCAATAGCAATAGCAATAGCAATAGCAGTTAGACTTATATACCGCTTCATAGGGCTTTCAGCCCTCTCTAAGCGGTTTACAGAGTCAGCATNCCAAATATTCCAAAATAAGTCCAAATATCCAAATATTCCAAAACAAGTCCAAATATCCAACTATCCAAATATTCCAAAATAAGTCCAAATATCCAAATATTCCAAAATAAGTCCAAATATCCATTGTGTGTTAGCTCTTGATCCATCCCAACCGTCTTTCTATCCCAGACTTGCCTCCAAAGAGGTAACTTGGAAGGATGTGGACTACAACACCCATCATCCGCAGCCCCTCGGGTCCCAGGAGGCAGTTAGAGAAGTGGGCTGTCGCCTGCCTTATTATTCATTTATTTCATACCTTGCCTTTAAATTTTTACGAGAAGGAAAATATATTGAATACTTTTTTGTACTTCTGTTTTCCCTACAAATGCATATTTGAACTCACTATCTCCTGGTGACTGGACAAAATTATCCAGCTGGTTTTCATGCCTAAAGCAGGTCTAGAATTCACCGTCTCCTAGTGATTGGCCCAAAGTCACCCAGCTGGCTTTCATACCTAAAGCAGGACTAGAACTCACGGTCCCCTGGTGACTGGACAAAATCACCCAGCTGACTTTAACAACTAAGGCAGGACTAGAATTTACAGTCTCCTGGTGATTGGGCCAAAGTCATCCAGTCAGCATTCATTGCTAAGGCAGGATTAGAACTCACCGTCTCCTGGTAATTCGCCCCAAATTTACCCAGCTGACGCTTAAGGAAGGACTAGAATTCACTGTCTCCTGGTGATTGGCCCACAGTCACCCAGCTGGCTTTTGTACCTAAGGCGGGACTAGAACTCACTATCTCCTGGCGACTGGACAAAATTATCCAGCTGGTTTTCATGCCGAAAGCAGGTCTAGAATTCACCGTCTCCTAGTGACTGGCCCAAAGTCACCCAGCTGGCTTTCATGCTTAAGGTGGAACTAGAACTCACAGTCACCTGGTTTCTAACCTGGTGCCTTGACTACACTTCCCTCAACAAACTTTTTCCAAAGTTGGTTGTCTCCCTTAAGGCGACAGAGATGAGCAGGAGCCCAAGAGGGAATTCTATAGCTCCTATGCACCTTGGCAGGAGATTGCAGCTCTCCCCCCCCCCTCCAGCCAACCTTCCAGAAACCAAGGGGGGGGGCTGCAGACCACTCACCTTTTTCAGGGCCATCACCTGAACGGCACAGAGTTCACTGAGGCATGGCGAGATCTTCTCCAGTGGTAGCCGGGCGAGCACCAACGCCGTCCCTGCGCAACGAGAGGATGGACAGGAGTCCTTTAAACTGTTCTGACCCAGCTGCCCAAACACGACAAAACCCTCTGAAGGGAACTCAAACGATTCCTTTATTAGGATCGCCATCAGCCCCGGCAAAAAAGTTTCTCTCTCACCGCAGGCTGACAGGTCCCTCCGGCAGGGAGAGGAAGAGTTGTCTGCCCCATCTATTCATCTCTGCCCCCTGCCTTTCATCCCCAGAGCTTTGCTAGCAGCGGTGGCTCTTCCGTCCCGAGGACCAGCCCATAGATTTCCACTGCTCTCCTCTCCTCTCTGCCTTCTGTACATCCGCACATCAGGCACTCAGGGATCTTCCGTCCCAAGGACCGGCCCATAGATTTCCACTGCTCTCCTCTCCTCTGCCTTCTGTACATCCGCACGTCAGGCACTCAGGGATCTTCTGTCCCAAGGACCGGCCCATAGATTTCCACTGCTCTCCTCTCCTCTGCCTTCTGTACATTCATGCATCAGGCACTGGACTCGGCTG